TTGGACTGCATCAATAAGAGGCAACTTTTGGTTTGAATTATCCATAGGTGCAACAAGCATCCTCCTCACTTCTTCTTTCAGTTCTTCATATTGTAGTTCAGTTGTAGCATCAATATCCTGCTCAATGATGAAAATTTTTTCTTATAAATAAAGGACTAAATAAAAAGAAACCTCGCTCCTCTAATAAATTTTACCAGAGAAGATCACTAAAAATGAAATATAATAATAATTGGCTACGTTAACATTGATATATATTAAATAGGTATATTTTGTGCATTGATAATATGATCAAAATTTTACAAATTAGTTTTTTTTTTTTTGAAAAGTAAATTTCATTCATTGAATTGGGATAGGCACCAATTACAAATATGCCGAGAGAGTCTGCTGCTATAACAAGCCCAGCTGCAAACTCTTGGCGGCATAAATTTACAAACTAATTTATTTATATACTTATTATGTAGTTAAAAATTTACTATCAAGATTTTTTATGATTAAATAGATATGTAACAAATACGTAAATGACCTTCAGCAATATATGAATTTTATTAATATAGGTGTATAAGATAATATATTTATTGTGTTAAAAAACAAAAAAAATCATAAGAAAATAAAAACCGTCAAGAACATAAGAATAAATCTTTAAACTATCATGAACATGATAAGTTTCCTTGCATATTGGACCTTAAAATTTTCACAATTTGAAGAAAAAACAAGTTTTATATATACCTTATCAGGACAAGTGAGGAAAACATCTCCCCAAATGCCAGGATGAAAATCGGCCTTGGGGCGATTTTCCATATTGGAGGATATGGCATTATGGGTTGAAGCAAGAACTTGAGAAACTTGCGAAGCCATTATTCTCGTGATGGGGTATGCTAGTGTTGGAAGCAGAGTTCAAGGGTTAATTAGGTGCCTTTGCTACTCCTTCATCAACACAGACTTGTGTGAGTCTAAGTGTGCATCTGCGGCATGAATTTATAGACACAAGATTGCCACTAAGTCAAAAGAATACAAATTTGAATGAAGAAAATTATTATCAAACAAAACATGTCAGGTTGGGTTCCCCTGAAGGAGGAATGCAAATAGAGAGAAAAGTCCTTTAAATGCTTTTGTTTGTTTCTTTTCTTCCATGATGATGTCTACAACAATGTAGTCAGTGCTCTCTGTGACCAATTTTCTACTGACATTTGTCATGCATGCGGAAAAACTCAATTTAATGCATAAATATATATAATATGATGTCATTTACTTTATCTGATCTCGTTCACTGTTTAAGACTTTAATGAAAGAAGAGACACTATAAAATAGATAATAAGAAAGTTTTAATACGGCTATAAAGTATGTGTATATGTTTACAACGCGAACATGTATACTGAAACAAACATTAAACAATTAAAATATTTATTTTAATAATTAATATACGTACGTCTTTAAATATCCGATGTTGAAACGTAACTGTAACATCACATTGACTCTGTAATTTTAATGACGATAGATTTGAATTAACATTCACATGTTTCTTTTAATTATCAATCAAATCATGTTTTAAAAAGACAAAATTGTGATTTCATAACAACTAGCTAAGTAGATTAAATAAGTAACAAAATATTATTTTGGGGATAATACACGCATGATTCTAACCTTAAATTATCCAATGTTTAATTTATTGTGTTCAATCACATTCAAAAAATATGCATTCTAATTTTAATGCAGTAATTGTGATCAGCAATATTTTTTTATTAGCAAAATGTATTCCGATGGAGAATATAGAAATCAAACTCTCATCATTCATCAATTAATTAATACTACTATAAGGTTGCATCTAGATGGCCCTTATTTTAAATAAAAAAATTCTAAGCTGGTGGTATTTACTTTTTAGTTAAATCCTAATCAATTGATACCTTCTCTAGAGACACCAAAAATTTTAGTGATATTTGATATTGTTCTCTTCATCTTTCTTGATATTATTTTAAATTTAATAATATTCTAATATTATTTTTTAAAAGGTATCATAGATTTTATTGATGGAGTATGAATTACAAATGATAGAATAAGTCTTTAGCCTTAACCGGGTAAGCAGAATACTTGTACCAGCATAGCATATCCTCAGTGTGATGGTTATATATTAGAGTGAGATTAGATAATTAAGTATTCATATTATTATTTTTTATAAAACAAAACCGTGAAATCCAACAAAATTAAAATAGAGAATAATTCTATAAGTTGTTGTAGAACGTGACACTCAGCCATCAATGAAGAGAAGAATTCTAGATTACAGCATGCCAGAACGAGTGACTCCCTGGTTGAAACCAAACTCACATACTACAACATGTATATCACGGTGCACCAGGTGTTACTACTGCAGCAGGGACCCCAAAAGCTGTATATATGAGAACTACAATCATCAAAACAAAGCGCCCTCTCATGAATCACGTGGACCTATTATGTATGAGAACTACAACCCAAATTGTTGGATTATTCTTTTCCTCAGAATATTACAACCAAAGAATTATTCCATTGGCATTCTTGTCATAAAGCTAGCCACTACCACGGTTTTAGTTTGAAAAGGTGTCGAGTCGAGAAATGTCAAAGTGCAGGGCAGGACACCTCTTCTGTTACTTTAATTATAAATAACTGATATTGATACTGATTTTAGCACGTGGATTTTAATAGTTGAACAAGTTTTTGTCTTTTTTTTTTTCCTTTTTTTTCCACATTCACTATTTATTATAAAACAATAAATCACAAATTAAAATGTTGTTAAAGAAACCTAAGAAATTATTTTATATAATATATGTAAGATATTTAACTTTGGATCCCATTTGAGAAACATTGTCTCAATGGAGCAATATTTTTGGCTTTGCCATCGTCACCATCGTTGCTGTTAATAACTTACCTCTCTATCAGTGGTAATTACCATTTCCAACTCCAAAAACACTGTAAAATTTTGAAAAGAATTTACCCATCAGACCGGACTTTTTCTCATGCAGATAATCAGTGTGGAAAAGTTTCCCACCACAGGAGGGAGGAGGAGCTGGAAATGCTTTCTTAATTTCCATGTTCAAAGGCAGACCAACTAGAAAAAGAATTTTCCATGGATTTCTTGTCAGATATTGTTCAGATTCATTGCACTCTTGCAGTCATGCTAAAGAATTTAAATTATATATATCCAGAAGAGACGTGCGAGGAGCAAAGTTTCCTTAAAAGCGAATACGTATATAATCAAAAATTTTCTACAAATGTCTTATTCTAGATTTGTAGTGGTCAATTTTATTGACATTGATCTTTGATTTTTCATGCACCCTTCTAGGCACTAATAAAATCTTAAAAATTGTTCGAAGTACACTTAATAGTAAAACTCATACATGATATTTTAATGAAATTATTTTATTTAATTTAATTTTTTTATTGATTTTGATAATTAAGATAAATCAAAAATACAAAATAAGATTCCTTGAGCATTTAGCTTACTAATAAGTATATATATTTTTCTTATTCTAAAAGTTAGAGTTCAAATTCTCGACTATTTCCTTAACTTCTCAAATTAACTATAGCAACCATGAAGGACAGCAATATATATACACCAACTAATCTGAAATCAAAACTATATTTCATAGGCTTACAAAATCTATCTCGAGAGATAAAAAAAACTTATCAATAACGAAAACAGAACAATCTATTTACCTGGATTTTTTTTCACCAAAATTAAAAACTTTGACTTGAGAGATCTATTCTCTGTACGGCTTCATTATTTAGAATCTTGGATTGAGATATATCTAGAAGCTTAGTTAGGCAAAGATTGAGATATAAATTGCTTTTGTTTAGAATCTTTTAAGGGTGGGAGAGGGGATTTTGTTGCAATCAAGGAATCATGGAACCATCATTTTCATTTGGATGCAATCATGAAACCATCAAGCAGGGAAAATACAAATAAACTTACAACCAAATACAAACCAAAAAAACACAACAAAACAGAAACAAATACAGTTGAAAGCTTGAAAAGACCACCAATTTCTCATTGCTAACGGTTTCTAATTTGGGTGTAGAGATATAGTGGGTAATTGCTTTATCAAATTCACTATACTTGGTGGTGCCAATGTCAGAACTCCAAGGCATTCAATATTGTCGTTTTTAAGTAAAAACCATACAAACCTTCAAACTAAAAATATTAATAGAGAAATTGTCATCAAGTAGTAGGCCCTTTCCAGAGGGAATCTCATTTGTTGTTTCCTTTCTTTTCACTTGTCAGTGTATAGTCATCAACATCCCATCTATATTCACTAACTTCTGATGTAACCTTTAGATAATATCCTTTAGGAAACCAATCCCAAACTTTTAAGCTTTTCATTTCCAAATTAAGCTCAAATCAAGTGCAGCATTTTAAATAATCTCTCAGTAGATCCTAAATCAAAAAAAAAATTGAATATCATTTTAATGACACTATTCAGAAACATTCCCGAATCCGTCCCTTCACCAGATGTTACTACTGTAGCAAGGATCCCCAAAGCTGTATATATGAGAACTACAATCATCAAAACAAAGCCCCCTCTCATAAATCACGTGGACCTATTATGAGAAGTACAATCCAAATTGTTGGATGATTCTTTTCTTCAGAATATTACAACCAAAGAATTATCCATTGATAATCTTGTCATAAAGCTAGCCACTACCACGTTTTTAGCTTGAAATGGTGTCAAGTCGAGAAATGTCAAAGTGCAAGGCAGGACACCTCTTATGTTACTTTAATTATAAATAATTGATATTGATACTGATTTTAGCATGTGGATCTTAATAGTTGAACAAGTTTTTGTCTTCTTTTTTCCTTTTTTTTCCACCTTCACTATTTATTATAAAACAATAAATCACAAATTAAAATGTTCGAAAAGAAACCTAAGAAATAATTTTATATAATATATGTAAGACATTTAACTTTGGGTCCCATTTTAGAAACATTGTCACAATGGAACAATATTCTTGGCTTTGCCAGCGTCACCATCGTTGCTGTTAATTTACCTCTCTATCAGTAGTAATTACCATTTCCAACTTCAAGAACACTGTAGAATTTTAAAAGAATTTACCCATCAGACTGGACTTTTTCTCATGCAGATTATCACCGTGGAAAAGTTTCCCACCACAAAAGGGAGGAGAAGCTGTAAATGCTTTACTTAATTTCCATATTCAAAGGCAACCAACTAAACCAAGAATTTTCCATGGATTTATTGTCAGATATTGTTAAGATTCATTGCACTATTGCCGTCATGCTAAAGAATTTAAATATTATATATATATATATATATATATATATATATTTAGCAACTATATCTAGAAGGGACGTGCGAGGATCAAAGTTTCTTTAAAAGGAAATACGTGTACGCAAAGGCGGAGTTAGATAATTTTTGTTAAGAGAGTCAAAGATAAAAAAATAAAAGTTAAAAATTTTTAAAATTAATATGTTGAATTAACCAACGATCAAAAAATTCATATAAATAATAATTTTAATATAATATCTAAATAAAAAAATAAAAAAAAAACTTATCATAGTTATTTAAGAAAATTATGCTTGATGATGTTTTCTAAATTCAAATTCATCATTTAATATTCTAATTTATTTATATTTAAACTTAAAAAATAAAACATAAAATTATAAGGTATAAAATATAAATAATTAAATACGAAATACAAGATTTCATATAATAGTTAAATAATATAAATAGAAAGAAAAAGGTAAAAGAAAACTTTACCTCCTCTTAATTTTACACAATGGTGGTGAGTGATCTCTATCTTCCCTTTTCCAAACTCACAAGCTCATAAATCTCTTTTAAAGAATAAGGTGTGTTTCAATAGTGAGTTACTAGAAAAGAGAAATAAAAATAAAAAAAATAAAAAAGAGAAGAGAAAAAGAAAAAAAAAGAGAAAGAGGTGTAGAAAAACTTAAATTATGGTACAATTAAGTAAGTTTATGAAGTTATTTTATTTTTTTATTTATATTAATTATTAAATAAAAAATTTATTTTGAGTGGGTCATTAATAATATATAATAAATAAAAAGTTTTAAAAATTTTGAAGGGACCATTGATAAAATATATATAAGAAATAAATATTTTTAAAAATTTTGAGGGGGCCGTGATGGCTTACCCTCCTGCCCTGCGTGTATGATAACAAATTTCTACATATGTTTTATTGTCACTTTTGTCTTAACCAAAATGTGAAGTTCTTGTGATAGGAATAAAAAGCATTACAAATAAGTAAGTGATACATCAAAAACGATAAAAAGAAAGAACAAAGCAATTTTTGAATTATTAAGTGTCATGACATGTGAAAGAAAATAGATAAAAAATGTATAAGAGGACTAGAGAGAGAAGCTTTGAGTGAGAGTAAGTTCGTTCTAAAAGTAAAGATTGGGAATGAATTGTGAAGGTTCTATATACCGTATTAAAAATGACGGTTATAAAAAAAAGTTTTAATATATGTAATAAATGATATTATTAAGGAGAGTTTTAATGTTACGTAATTGTTATAGAGAGTTAATGTAAAGTAATAGTTAGAAATTCATTCTATGATCGTTGAAGTAATTGAATGTAATAAGACTTGTTCTCGAGTAGAAGTTAACAAAAAAAAGCTGTACGTGAACAAGTGCAAGAAAAGAAGTTGTACGTGAACACAGATACAAGAGAACAAGGTAAAAAAGAGAAACATTTGTACTTTAAGAAAATGTTAAAAGAAAAACCTCTTAACTATCTTCACATTGAGCCACTAAACCAAATTTTCTAAAACATTCCAAGATTAAAGTAACCCATGAATTTTATCACTTATTTCGAGTTACTTTCACTATCATCTGTGTAAAGTGATTATTCTATGCAAAATAGTTATTCTACTTATATTAATTGTTCCATATAAAGTGGCGTTCCACTTATTTTAGTTATTCTGTATGAAGTAGTATGTCACTTGTTTTAGTGGTTCTGTTTGAAGTAGTGCTTCACTTGTAATGGTTGTCCTCATTATTCTTTGTACAATATTATGCTGTAAAATAATTCTTTAAAAAATAGATATTAATCAAAATCAAGTATCTATAGTTTGCATTAGTAAATTTTATTGACTTTGATCTTTGATTTTCATGCACCCTTCTATACATGAATAAAATCTTAAAAACTATACGCTTAATGGTAAAACTCATACATGGAATTTTAATGAGATTATCTTATCAAATTTAATTTTTTATTGAATTTGATAATTAAGATAAATCAAAGATATAAAATACAATTATTTAAATATTTGATTTGATAATAAGTATATATATTTTTTATTCAAAAAAGTTAAAATTAAAATTCTTGATAATTTTCTTAACCACTCAAACTACAGCAATCATGAAAGACAGTAATATAATATATATATATATATATATATATATATATACTTACATAATTTATCTCGAAAGATAACAGAACTTATCAGTCACAAAAACAAAACAATTTATTTATCTGGATTTTTTTCACCAAAATTAAAAATTTTGATTTCTAAAGTCTATTCCCTATATAGCTTCATTGTTTAGAATCTTGGATTGAGATATAGCTAGAAGCTTAGTTTTTTTTTTTTTTTCT